CTAGTCTCGTCACATGCTGAGTCAGTATGTGTTTGAGCCTCAAGGACTGTTTGATGAATTTCCATTCCCTGATGTCAGAATTTGATTGAGCAGGGTCTGCATTTTCCGGTATACCCTGGACAATTATGTTTCTTCCGCGGAAGAACTTCTCGCGAGATTCTTTAGGGACGTTTCGTATGATATTGCGCTCAGAGTACGGTATGTCGGGCAATATTCTTACGTTACCATCTGATTTCAGTAAGTGACTTGCTAGCAAGACGTCCTCTACGTCGGTAGCATCCTTAAGTGTTACTCGGAGAAGCCTCGGGTGATTTAGATGCTTAGAATCCTTTCCTCGAGTGAGCCGGGTGACCGTCAAAGGCTCTATTCTAGGAAGTTCGAGCTTCTTGTTCAATTCACCCCACAGCATCCTGTCGTTTTTATCCTGCAGACTGAGAGGAAGGTCAGGATTGTCGACGAAGTTCATGATAATGAGAGAATCGTCACGAACTGTTGTTAATTTACCAGGTTTCACGATGGGTTCACGTTTAATAACTTGTTGTTTGGAGGCCAGTGTGCGTTTATGAATCTTGGGCTCTTTATTGACCGGACGAACAGTCTTGGGGGTAGACTGTGCGACTAAATCACCAGTTATTTTCCGTGCAGCAACACTTGGGTTGCTCGGCTTAGGCGGTGATGCCTGGTTCTTTTGGGCTCTCTTAACGTGGGTCGAATCACCTGCAGGGTTTTTGGGAATCACTCTTGTGTTCAGGGACCCTGAGCTGGGAGACCTGAGTTTGCTTAGGGAGTCTAGTACCGTCGACGTAATGATGGTACTGAGCCTCGATACGTCGTCATTAGTGTTGATGGATGCTCCATCGATGGTATACCTATCGACATCCTTATTTTTGAGTCCGTTGCGCGCTCTTGTTTGTATATCGGTTTTTTTACTATCGTGTTCCAAGTTAACTGACAGCTTATTCCGAAGACCTGTCAGTAGGACAATGATGTTACTCAGCAAGACTACTGCGTCCGTGTTGCACGTGACACATACCCACTTTGGTCTGACTTGCTGAGTCTGTTGTAAGCAGTTGCTGTCAGATTTGTGCATGCTTCGTGGAACCAACCTTTGCAGTTGTCGCACTGCATGCCAGTTGTGACAGCAAAACGGCATCCCGGACGTTTGCATGAGTTTTTCATGACGGTGTTGAAGCAAACTATGTTATAGATGCTTGCAAAAGCTTAAGACCTTTTTTAAAAAACACTAAAATGCACACTGAAAGCGGACAAAAATGGACAAAACGAGTGATATAAACTGAAACTAGTCTATACGTGAAAAACAAAAAAAAACCGAATAGTAAGCTGAGGCAAAACCACAGGTAACTATTAAATATAGTGAAACTCAAAAAAAAGTAATCTACCGAACGTATAGCTCAGGATAGATTCTTTAGAACTGAAATGGTACTTTTGTTGCGTAAGAACACAGCAAAAGTTTGATATATGCAAATCACGTTAGGACTAAACTTCCCGTTCGAAAAGCGCGCAACCCATGTCAAAGAGTAAATGGTTGACAGTTATGATTAAACTTACAGGAAGTATGAAATAGCTCACGTCAGAACCATAAAGAGATAGAATATGTACGATATATGTATACCTGATTTCAATCAAAGAGACAATTCCGTTCTAAGAAAACAGTTTGGGCCTATCTTAGCTGATGTGTTCATGTCATAAGTGGGAAAATATGACGAGCGAGCTTATTAGTGCGGCAACTCTATATAGAAGATGCATGGATGATATTCTAATTATATGTGATAAGGATTTTGATGTTTACCGATTATTGGATAAATTCAATGGTGTTCAAGATGATATTGTGATGACATACGAATCAGAAAGTAATGGCCAATTAGCCTTTTTAGACATACTTTTAAGTCGAAGGGATGATGGCACTATTAGACGGTCAGTGTGTAGGAAACCAATCTGGACGGGACAATACTTAAATTTCCATAGTTTCGTCCACTGCAATGCAAAAGAGGTCTGGTTAGGTGTCTCTTTAAGAGGACTTTATTATTTATTTATTTTAACACATAGATATTGGTACAAGGAGGCATCAAATACATATGCGCCACACAAATCTCATTCGATATGTGTGAGGGCTGTGATACTGCCCAGGTGCCCGAACCGAAGCAGGTGGTTTTCCTAAGGCGCCACACCTTGAGCCTTCGACCTGAATGTCTGATCCACAAGGCAGTGGAGCATCGTAAGGAGATGCAGTCCCGTGGAAGTCCGTGACCAACAATTGGTTCATACGCCATCTGTTCCTTCAGGATACTGGAGCCCATGTGCACCATTGATTTGGAATCCGGTTAAAGTGCCGGACGTTCGATTCTCGTCCTCTCATTTTCGTAAACAACACCCCTGCCACGAGAAGGCAGTGAGTAGGACTTCTCTAGCAGAGGCTATATACGCGTGGCCAAGTGAGAGCATTTCGAGAGGGGAGCGGACTCTCCCCACTCTCGGCCGTACCAGGGCATTTGGAAGCTCATAGAATTTGTACCTCTTGTGATGGACCAAAAAGTATAATAACCAAAAATCAGTGATAAAGTTATTACGTCCAAAATTAATGTAACAATAATAATTTATAAATTAACAACACAAATTAAAAGTTCAGGGACGTTACTTAAATCGGTTAGTGGTTGCGTATTCTGTTGAGTTTTGGTCCCATAAATCCACAATTATAAATGCGTAATAATTCCACAGAGGTAAATATGACGCCAATAAGTTTCTTTGACGTAGGATATAATGGAAATGACACAGCAGTCTAAAATGAGGATAATATCCAGTTTAGAACGCAATTGACTTGGTAACGAGCGAGAATAGAACAATGGGTATGTGCGTAGTAGTGTATTTGTGAACAACCGAAAATGTGTGTCACGCTATGTTGGAATTACAACGGAAAAAGTGTTCAAGGTCGTTGACTAAAACAACACGTACAGTCATTTAATGATAAATGTACATTCAGTGAGAAATTGACAAATACAAATAATATTAAAAACTATTTACAAAATAAGCTTGTCAGATCTATCTCCACATAGCTCCCCCCAGAGTGTCCGGAGGTAACACTGGTTATAATAAAAAAAATATAAGAATATGATATATGTGTATATACAAAAATAATATTGACAGCTATAACCAACAAAAGTTGTAGAGATGGACATGACATATACATTAATAAGATGGAGTGTGTTATCGTTTGAGAATAGCAATAATGTAGCATAGCATAACGAATACAAAACTCTGACATGGTGGAAAAAGATGAAAAGTTACTGACTGATACATTAATAGCAAAAGCGCAAAAGTCAGTTGATGCCAAGACCTCTAGTTTATTCAGTTCCAAAGAAAAAAAGTTTATATCAATCTACCATATAGAAGCGAATCCAACAGCATAGTTTTAAGACAGAGATTGAAAGCTGCCACCGAGAATACCTATTATTACAATTTCTTATTCTTTCTCTCCCCCTTTGTTACTCTTTCACTTGGACTTTCATTTAATTGACCTTTATTAATTTTCATATAAAAAAATGCCCTGACAAGTATATGTGTGACCATATTGTTCGAATGTATAGAGCGAATACATCACATTTTTCAGATTAAATCCGTCTTTTCATTGTTCTATCGAAATTTATAAAAAAGACTAATTGCTTTAGAATTCTCTTAGATAAACATTTCCATGACTCTTATGAAGAACTCAATAAAAAACTACAGTAGAAATGCTATTGGCTTCTATCATCAGCTAATTCAGGTAACGCCTTAGACCACCCTAAACAGATTTCTTTCTAGTTATGGCTCATATACTATTTGGTAGACTAACTACTAGTGTTGAGCCTGACTCGTCTTGGTAATTGGTTGAAACTGAAGCAGAGGCTCATTTTAGTATACCGATCCGTTTAGGATGAGACATTGACTGGCCACCAAATCACAAGATGAGCTTGGTGAGAATTAAACAACAACCAATAGAGATAGGCACTTTAGGAGTGTGCGTTTCGTACAAAGTGTAAAGTAGTCCATCTGCGACATGTCGCAAACTACAGTTACAACTTAGGAAACTCCTCTCTAGTAGTATCCGAAGTCGAAAAAGATTTAGGAGTCCTGGTGCCCCATGACTTAAAGCCTTACGCTAACTGTGACAAAAATGCCTTCCGAGCAAACCTTGCACTGGTAACGTTGAGGCGCATTTTTGGCCAGTTTGACGGAAGAACTTTCCACACAATCTTCAATAGTTTCATCCGTCCCCATTTAGAGTACGGAAAGATAGTACTCCCCCCTCACTCCAAAAGAACAAGGTCACTTTGGAGCGTATCCAACGGCGAGCCACGAAATCAGTTCGAGGACTCAAATCTAAGCCTTACGAAGAACGCCTCCGTTCACAAGACCTTTACCCACTAGAATATAGGCGTCTTAGAGGTGATTTATTAATGGCTTATAGTATTCTTAACACTTCTGGACGTCCTCTTAAACACCTACTTAAGCATAGTTCGAATAATAACCTAAGGGGTAACACCCAGAAACTGGAAACACAACATAGCAAGACGGAATGTAGACACAACTTCTACTCCTTAAGAGTTGTCAAAAGCTGGAACTCGCTGCCGGCCGAGCTAGTTCAAGCGACTTGTCAGGAGTCCTTCAAGAGGCAACTTGACCTATTCTTAAGGACCAAGGACAGCATCACACTATCATTTACCAATTTCTTTTCCTCTTTTAATGTTAACATACCTAAGTTTCTGTCTGGAGGATTTCGTGATCCCCTGCTACTAGACACGGAAGCCTGTTAAGCGAAAGCTTCTTCTATTCCGTCCACAACCATTTGAACCATTTGAACCATTTGAGATGTGATATAAAGTGTGTTCTGGGTGGGCAATTCAAGAGTGAGTTCACTTTACAGTTTAATGTCGAAGTATTTTCGTAACAATATTTGTACATATTCATAGTTATTAAATAAATTAATTTTTATTTCCATTAATCAGTCAAAATCTAATGCAGATTCACATACACATCGATGTAAATGCCGAGGGACATGTCAAGCACGGTGTATTTGTAGACGTTCTGGTCGTCCGTGTGTCCCATTGCGTTGTTACTGCATTTCTGGTGTATGCGAAAACCGTTTAGATTCATCATCACAAGACAGTCAAATAGTTATGGGACCACCATCTGGATTACCCGTTATATTACGGACAAAACGTAAAACTCGTGCATTACAATTAAATAAAATCTCCAACTGACAATTCACAACTATATGACGGTGGGTCACTTCGTTATTTATGGCCTAAAAATCGTTTATCTTATTTTCCCAGTCCACTATTGCGTTCAGACAGACCGGCCAAAAATCTCCCAGAAATGTACTTCACCATCCTGTCTACATTGGTTTCCTTTCTTAGTTTAGAACACTTGTACGTGGTTTCTGTGTGTGGACGCTATTATTTTATCTCTTTCCCCTTCTTCTATCCAGTTTATATATATATATTTGTTGCTTACGATAGAACCAGTAGGATTACATTAATTTGTGTGTTGTGTTTTGCTTCTTTATTTTTCACAATCGTAGTCCATTTCATTATGTATATTTCAGCTTCGATATCGTGATTTGTTGTTCATAAAACAATCGTTGTGAAACCGTTTCTGGTTTTCTCTTGTAATTACAGGTTGATTTTTCCTCGTTTCCTCTAAACTTCATGTTGGCGCTTATAACGTCAGAACACTGTGCCAAATAGAACAACAAGCTTCCTTAGCTAGGACTTCAGAATCTCGCGCTATCGTTGTGTGCTGCGTCTCCGAAACGCGTATGCAGGACCGGAGTAGCGTCATTCATTTGACATCACCATGTCAAAGTAACGAACCAACTCGATTCATAGGAAACTTGAGAAGAAAGTAAATCTTAGTAACTGTGAGAACCACAAAGAAAGGGTTACACCATTGTTAAAGCCAGGCAAAGTTTGCAACAGAGCGTAACTGAAACGAGCGAAGGATTCAGTAGTAACTCAACCTAGAGACCAGCGTGAAGACTTTTATAAGTATCGATTACGTACGGGCCGAATCGAGATAGTACAACTCAATGTTGAACAATCAATCGAATGGAACTCATCGCTGTACAGTAACTTCCTTGATTATGAGAAAGGATACGAAAGAGTGGATTTTTTCAAAAATATGGAGTGCCTGAGGAGATTTTCATTTTTATACGGAACTCATACGAAGTACTGAATTGCGAAATTGTGCAGGGAGGGTAGCTCACAGATGTATTTCAAGTGAAGACCAGTGTCAGACAAGACTGGTTACTCTCGTTTTTCTTCTTTTTTTCCAGCTGCTGACTGCACTATGAAGACCATAACATATCTGGGGATGCACGGAATACAGTGAACACCTTAGACTTTGTAGATGACCAATTACTATTATCCCACTCCTAGCAATAAATTTAGGCGAACACAGCCAGTATAGAGGTGGCATCAATAGAAATGGTGCTTAGCATTCACAAAGGAAGAGGCAAGTTCATAAAGATATTTGGCGATACTTTCAATGATCCATTATACTATAAATGACAAGTATTCTCAAGAGGATAAGTGTAGTGTAGCCTAAATATTGTTAAATGGTATTGATGATCTTAGTTCCTTTGCTTATTAAACAAAATATGCACTTGATTGATACATGGTGCAATATGAGGCCAGAGTGATTTATGGACGCTTATGCATATAACCCATAAAAAATGTGCTCAAGATGATATTAAAATAGCAACAACACTTAATATTACATAAAAAGCCGGAGCAACTGGTACAGTCGTTATTTTTACTTCAGAATTTATACCCGTGACAGGACAGCGCCATTACGATCAAATAGTTCAATTCATGTGAAAATCCTTCAAAACAAGGCTGCATACTAAAAGTCAGTCAGTTACAACGTAGGACCAGGCACATACATGCATCGGTCCAAGTTGCCATATCTCATTAGCACAGCAAGACGAACACCTGATTCATAGAAGCAGTAAACTCAATGGTGTAATATATAAAGGAAAAATTTTATATAAGGATATAGTACTAAAACACAGAAATCCACTCAAGTTCATGTCTCCATTTTAATTTAAATTATTCGTATTAGTTAACACTTTGCAAATCAGTATTCAGCAATGTTTAGTAATGGTACACTGATTATAAACACTTCAACCAAGCCGATTCACCAATCAATATCGGTTTAAACAGGGGTAGGTAGGACTATTATCTGTCGTGTAACTAATAAAGTATGTTGATTAATTTGACTGAGGATAAATTTCATATTGAAACTAATTTCATGGTAGGGTTCACATTTAAGTGGTACTAAGTAAAGGGAAATGATTTGAAGATTATCTATCTTCATTATGGACTGACGTAAGGTGATATGTGCAACCATGTTTATACTTCAAGATAAGTTCAAATGCACTACTAATCACTAAAAGTTACACATGTGATAACAAATGAACATGCAGCTGTATTTCCAGACCATTCATAACTTTGACACTCGACCATAGCTGCTACCTTGACGCAGTGGTCGGGCTTGCCTATCGTGATGACCCAACCGAGCTATATGGCTGGAACATATTTCATGTAGGTTCTACCATGACAGGCAGGTCGATTGGAGAACGGTAAAGACTAAAAGCAGCAACTCAAGGTCGAAGGGCGAAGTCGTATTGCTGACTGTAGAGCGGTGTGACAGCAGTAAGTTGTTTCTCTCGGACAACCAGCATCTGCAGCGATGCAGCCTTCTCACAAGGAAGAAAGGGTTGGAAAAGGTCGACCTTAAAATGCCACACCTCACCTTACCTCATGGGACGGCGCCGTCAATGACGCCCTGTCAAACTGAAAGAAGTTTCAGAAAACCACAAATTAGGCTTACTTCCGAGATGACGAATCTCTCGTATGACGATATATTATATAAAATAAATCTTATTCCCTTGTTACATAAAAGGATCAGAGGTCACTTAGTCACAGCTTTGAAGTTACTTAGTGATAAGTTTGCACATGATATGCCCTCATTTTTCCTGCTTTTCAGGACAGAGAATTTACGAGGGCACTGTATAACGGTTTACAAACTCACAACAAATTTCTTGTCAGTTCTGTCCTAAACTAAAGGCGGGGTTTCGTCTCTCATTGAGTAGTCAATGTCTGGAATGCCTTGCTAGGAAAACTAGCGCCAGACGTCACTAACCATTTTCCAGGAGAAGCTGGACCTCCACTAGAAAACAATATGCAAGGGTCAACACAGGTCCACCAACATACTATAATTATTGGGTGATATTATTCGCAACTCAACCATGTAAGCTTTATGTATCGCCCAGTGTAATAACAATCATCTGTGCGTTCAAGTAATCATAGAATTTGTCATTTCATAATGTATTTTTTACTAAATAACTAGGTTATTTTGTTAATTTTGCTCTGGTTGTAATTTTTATTTGCCACGTCTGACTGCGTTACACTGTACTTTAATTGCACGCTGGGATGATATCCCAAGTCATATGGAGTTTAATCACATAGTTGATTGTTTCCAGATAGCCCATGAGTGCATAATGTTACTGAAGAAATTATTACCTAAAACTGAAGACTGACTATCGAATTTCCTATAGAATCATCAACAAATGGAATTCATTACCCCAACAAGAGAATGAAGCTTCAGTTGTCAACGCTTTCAAAATAAAGTGTGATCAATTGAGAGACAGCCACTGCTTGGACTAACAAAGGCCACCCAGCCTTTTGTCCTTTCCAAAATAAGACTGAATAGCTGACAAGAATCACTTCAATAGGAAATATGGGGCTTATTTAAATACCTGGTACAAACCAAGTAGAATCAGTTGATTTACAACGACATCTCAAGAAATGTTAAATTGATTTTTATATTTTTGTTTGCATATATCCATTTTGTTAGTTAGTTAGTTGCCTTCATGTTTGCCTTCCATATTTTAGGACGGGCAGGCGCAACTGATCGATTTGCCATTTCAGCCATGAACTTGAATAAAATGGCCGCACGATCGCTTCACTCTAAAGGTAGGAGGAAAGTTATTTGAGTGACATCTCCGTGTGTGAAGATTAGGTCCTAAAGAGGCGGGGAGTTTGTAGGCCATATCAGGTAGGGTGTCCTAATTGCTGGAGTAAAGTTAGAACGATTAATGGTTTCGAGAAATTTGCAAAAACGGATCATTTTTGATGACCGTACTTCTACGTTTCTCCAATTTCTAGACAGTGCGTTAGTCAACTACTATAAGGCTTTTACGCTTATTGTAAGATCCAAACTACGGTTTGGACTGCTGAATAGCCTTCCAGGTACGTTAGACACGCGCCCTTTCCCGTCGAAATCAAAACAAGTAATCGGGTAAATAGCGGTTCTATAATTCATCATAAATTTAAATGTAAATCGTTACCTAAACAAATATTACCACCCGGCTATTCAACCAATAATTGTTCAATCAATAAAATCCAAATTACAATAAATAAAGTAGTTGATGAAAGATGAGGGAAAATTACCAGTCACAACAAATGAACGTTATTCTATCCTGACTGGATAGAACATACAAAAGGAGGAGCAAATCAATATGGCTACCGCCAAGAACAAGTGTCAAGTGAAACAACACAGATGCAGTTCGGGAAGAAACACAAACTTAGTGAATGCGTAAGAAAAACAAAAACTATAATAAAAAATACAAGTATTAACAACTCAAATGTAATCAAAATACAACAATGTACAACTAAGGGGATCAATAGGAACAAAGTACAAGTATATACATGAAGGGATTTCCACAAACACACAAAACATTCAAAATGGATCTTACACTTATTACACCATGATGTAAGTTTGCATAGGAGTATATCATCCACCATTCATTCTGAACTGCGGTATGCTACAAATAATTCATTGGCTTGCCATTCTCATTTCGGCTTGCAGCGCACCAATTCACACGTTCTTAATTCATGTGCCACTGTCTCAACAGCTTTTTGTACAGGATAACCCCATCTCTCCCACGGTTTATTCTAGCAGCCCTACTGAATAAAAGCAAAATAACTGTATTCCATTATCAAGCACTTCTGACGTTAACCATGTTTCTGAGATGGCAGTGACATCAGGGTTTTCTGTATCTCCCACTGTTTTGAGCACCGACAGATGTTATCGTGATACTGTCTCTGTGAGTATCTTGCTTATAAAGGACCTAATGTGAATGAGGTCGTGTTAAATATAGCAATTGGTCCCTTTTCAGGAGATTTGTAGTGGCATT